CTGTCGGGGAGGAGGTTGGGGGAAGTGGGGCTGTCGAGAGGCGCAGCTGGGGTGGGGAGAGAATTGGCCGGTGGGGAGCGAGACTGACCCGGCCATATGCAGATCTTGGGGTGCTGCCCTCCTTCCCTCCCTCCCTCCCTCCCTCCGCAAAGCACAAGTTAGTCCAGCCCGGGGATTCTATTGTTCCCCCTCCCCCACACACACGCCCCCTCGAGTAGTTGCAAACTGTCTGTCTGGTAGACACACTCACGCAGCCTGAGCACATCTACCAGCCAGGCAGTTCAAACTACAAACTGATACCCCATCTACCAGCCAGGCAGTTCAAACCATACAAACTGTTATATGTCTGGTATTTTCTCAGTTTGTTTTTTATGTGTATATATTTTTGGGCTGCAAAAAACAGTACTGAAAAAAAAGGGTTCCAACTAAAATAAAAAGTTTGGGAAATCCTGGTCTAACCAGCTTTCTGTCTGTCTTAACGCTCCATTTATCCAATCCATATTCCTTAACTTGCTGGCAAGAATATTGTGGGTGACCATATCAAAAGCTTTGCTAAAGCTGGTACTGGGGGCTTTGGGAGGACCAGAAACAACTTATTTGAATAATCATCATTTGATTAATGAATATGCAAATGAATGTTCCCAGTCCTCCAAAAGTTTGTGAATGGATTTACTGGTCCCCGTGTCAAAAAGTTTGGGAACCCCTGGTCTAGAATAAAGATGACTGAGAGGAGACACATCTTTCAGCATTTAATTGGTTGTTACAAGGAGGTGGGGGACACTTCTTTTTTCTCCTTAACCTCTGATGATAAGAAAAGAAGCAATGGGCTTCAGTAGCAGCAAGGGTGGTTTAGATTAGGAAAAACTTCTTGTCAGGGTGGTTAAACACTAGAACAGATTGCTTAGGTAGATTGTGGAATATCCACCACTGGAGATTTTTAAGAGCAGGGCAGATGAAAACCTGTTAGTGATGGTCTAGATGGTGCTTGGTCCTACCATGAGTGCAGGGGACTGGACTTGACCTCTAGAGGTTCCTTCCAATTTTGTAATTCTATAATTCTATTGTCCATGCTTTGTCAGGCATTCTCTGAAGCCTCCTTAGAGCATGCTACTAGATTGACAGCAACAGAGGGGCTATCTTTATACCAAGTAGACCAGTGGTTAGAGCACCAATCCAGGACATGGAAGACCCACGTTCACATCTTTACTCTGCCTGTTTCAGAGTAGGGTTTTGAACCCAATGTCTCTCACTTCCTGATAAATGCCCTAACCACAATGGGTTGGATCTTTCTTTTATTGAAACTGTTCCACATTGTATAAAATACTGAAGTATTCACTGAAGCAGAGAAAATCTATAGCTCAATAGTTCAGTAATTTACCTGGGAGATCCACGTTACAGTCCCTGTACCACTGAGTATTTTGTGCAGAGTAGATTAGCTCTGAGTGCACTTGCATCACACAGGGTTTTGCCTCAAATATAGACTTATTTTTAAAAACTGAGTCTTTTTATTGGAAGTGGAAGTCTGGCAGAATTCTAACTGCCAGCCTTTTAATATCGTTGATGTTAGGAGGAAGCAGCCACACTTGGTGGAGAATCCCAGGAGAGTTTTCAAAAGTTTATCTGAAGAATTGGCCATAGAAACACTGTATTTGAGGAATGGGAAGAGATAAGGGTTGATTCAGTAATCTCTGCTGAATGTGATTTACTGGACTATTCAGACTATTAGTGGCAGTTCTCCTGAGCAATCTAGATTGTGTGTCACTCCCTCATGAAGCATCAATGTAGGTAAAAATGGACTTGTACTCAGTCAACTGTTTATGTTATGGTCCAGTGCCAGCAAAATCCCTTTCAGAGTTATGTGAAGGCGACTCTGTTACTGCTGTTTTAAATGAGCCAAAGAGGCAGTTTCCCAGCTGACTGGAACTGGATTGGCCACACGTGTTTTTCTTCCTAATATTTTCCCTTCTAAGAAAGCAGCTTTTCATATGGGAAGGCATTCCCTTCCCACGTAGTCTTATAATTGGTGTGTTGGTTTGCTACATCTGTGGGTTGAGAGCTCAGTTAAAACAGAAAACTGCAGACCCGTTCAGATATGCCACAAAAGAAAACAGGAAAGCTTAGAGCATTATGCTTGGATTCTTCTTTTCTACCCGCTACTAATCAAACATGTTGTTTTCCAGAAGCCTTCCCTGTGTCAAATTGCTGTCATCTCTAATTAGCTTCATTCTAACTCATGTATGTCGGTTCAGCCATTTCTGGAAAATCCCACTGATTATCTTCTTTATGAATACACAAAACATAAAAAAGTGACTGGTTTCTGTCAGACTTTCACATTACTTGCTGTAGCAGTGTATGCACCCACCATCCCAAAAGGGGGTGGATACTGAGTGCATAGACACCACTATTCGCTCTACTTGTCCATCTCCAGACTTGCTACCACTGGGTCTAAAGACTAAAACAACGGTGACAGCTCCATTGTTTGGGACAGTATGGCCTAGCAGCCAGAGTCAATAGATTACCCCTTCAGGACAGTGCAGTGGGGCCTAGTGGCCAATACCTAAGGAGTAGCCAGCAAGCAGGGGCTGGCGATCCAAGTAGGGGGATCCAGGCCCACCCATTTCCACCAGGCACTGACCTGGGGCCCTAGCCAAAGCAAAGTGATCTGTCACCAGCTCAGCAGGGAATCCTACCAAAACATGCTGAGCTTAGCCAGATAGGAGATACCTTTCCATCACCCTCCCTACCCCATTGTCTCTGGAGACAGTGAGGCTTCAGGTTCTTGATGGTCCATAGCACAGGTCACTTCTTCGGATTCTGTCAGTCACAAGGGGTCCAAGCCAGCCCTTAGAACCTCCAATCTCTGTAGCAGTGACTGTAGCTGGTCCTCAGCAAGAGCTTCTAGCACACATCCTTCCCCTCCATCCCAGAATGAGATGGGCTCCCTCTTTTTATACTGCTGTAGCATCTGAAGCCTGCCCAGTCCAGCCTGGGAGCAGGACTTCAGTGTACATAATGTGGATTTAACCCTAGAGTGGGGAATGAGAGAGAGATCTTGGAGTCATTGTGGATAGTTCCCTGAAAACATCCAGTCAGTGTGAAGCAGCAGTTGAAAAAGCAAACAATGTTAGGAATACTTAAAAAAAGTATACAGACTAAGACCGAGAACATCTTAGTGCCTCTATATAAAATCACGGTACGCCTACATCTTGAATACTACATACAGATGTGGTGGCCTCGTCTCAAAAATGTATATATTGGCATTGGAAAAGGTTCAGAAAAAGGCAAAAAAATGATTAAGGGTTTGGAATGGGTTAGGGTTGAACTCACCTCAATGCTCCAGGCACTGTAGCCTCTAAGGTCCTTGTGCCACTCAGGTTTGATGCAGCCAACAGCATGACGGGAGCCCTGGTAGGCCAAATTGCAGTAAGTGGCACTGCAACCCCATGAACCAAGTCACAACTCCACTCGCACAAATTTGGTGCAGTCAGGAGGGCAGAGCCAAACCCGAGCAGCATTGCAATCCCAGAGGCTGCAACACCCAGAGTGGAATAGGGTTTCCACCTTTGAAATGCAAAAAACCTGGCACATCCTCTTCCCAAGACAAGCCCGCTACAACTCCACCCACAAAGGAATTCTGCAGACAGCCCACCCAACAGCTACTTGCAGTAGCTAGAGAGAGAACACATATAAATAAGATTAATATTTTCTTACTTAAACTGCACTTGTAGCAACACTGCTGCATCTTTAGCTGGACACAGACTTTTAACATTCAGTTTCACAGTGTATTGTAATAATAATGCAAATCTTTAGACCCACATACAAAACATCTAGTAGATTAATATATTTTTCTGGAAACTGGTAAATCCATTACATTAAAAACCCGGTCAGGCCGGTCAAATAGTAGCTAGGTGGTAACTCTAGTGGAGAGAGCCAAACCTAGCCAGTAATAGAGATGTAGCAATGTTAGTCACAGGAGCTATGGAAGCTGCCACTGTGGGGATAAGTGCTAGGTAGGACCTGAATGAAACTACCTCAGGGCCTCTACCTCCAGACTATTTACTAGGTTACAATAGTCCATAAACACTTTCAATGGGGTCCTGAGCCCAAAAAGTTTGAGAACCACTGTTCTACAAGTCCTAACATTTACTTAAATCACTTGAGTTTTGCTGTATGGGGGATGGGATGTTATGTTATGCTCCATATTGCCTATGCCTGGTGACTCTCTGAGTGAAATCTACCTTTCAGAAAGGTTTATTGCAGAGTTCCTTTGAAGGCTTAAGTGGTTCTTAGGCCTTGTGCTGTCTGTCTGCACAGAGATAAAGTTCAACCCTAACCCATTCCAAAGCTAGAAATGTTATGATTGGGCCGGTATAGGAGTGATGTTAAGGGCAGTGCTGCAGCATGGTAAAATTTCCACTCAAGGAGGATGGAGTTGGCTGTGGCAACTTCCATGAGTAACAAGGTGGCTCTATGCTCAGATCAGAGAGAAAGGCTTCCTGCATAAAGTCTGTGTACTCTGACATTGCCCAGAGGCAATTAAAAACACACCAAAAAACAAACAAAAAAATGCATTGTCCCAGTGGCTGTATCCAGCTCGTAGTTTGAAATAATTTTCTAAATATTAAAAAATCCCAGAGTAAATGTCAGTCAGACACATACTTTTATTCTCTTGCTTTTCAGATTCATCAGATGGGTATCTACATGCTTCTACACATCAGGGGGCAATAGATGTTTATGTTAATCAAGTGAGAAAAGTGGATCTGAAAAGCCAGAAAGGTTAGTAAGTTGCAACATTTTATGGCAACCTTTGATATAAAGGGAAGTTTTATGAAATGGTAAAACTACCTAGTCTGTATATTTCAGTAGTTACATTAAAATAAGCATTATTATTTACTTCATCATTAGAAAAATGTATATGGTTCTGAGCACAGTAAGCACCACAGGTGACCATGGTATTTAAAATAGACCCCACAAAATCCTCTGGGGCTTTCATTTCAGTGCCACTCTGGAAATCTTCCATTTTCCACCTTTCTTCTAGCCCCACCAAGCCAATAGAATTCTGCAGAACTGACCAGGATTCTAATCGTCCTTTGCCTCCTCAATGGAGAGTCCTCCAGGTGTCAGCAGATGTGTTTAACTGGTGGGGCTCATGAATTTATTGCATTTATCCATGCCCTTTTCCCAAGGAAAGAATTACTGTGTTTGGAGGCCCTGACATTAAAATGGCAAAGCAGCAACACAAGGGAGGGCAGAGCCAGAGAGATGAGACATGCCCCAGCATGTGGTCATTTTGTTAAATGAGCTAATTACTCGCCTCGTTTCTGCTTTCTGCTTAACTTATCTCAACTTTATGTGTTAAAATATCACCCTTTAAAAGCTGGATTCTCCCCTTTGCCATTTGAAAGAGCATGATGCCAACGGAGGGCGTGGTATAGTAAACACATTCAAGCCTTGCAGGTATATCATGTTCTTCTTCAAGTGGTTGCTCATGGCCATTCGAATTAGGTGTGCGCACTAGCTACTCCATCTCCTGGGGCAGGAAGAACTATGTTCACATTACTACCCACCCAGACATGGAATTACTTCCAGTAACTCACATTCATGTTTAACTGTTGAGACAAGAAAATGTGTTTCATAGGTGTTATAAAGAAATAAATGAATAAACTGATTTTCACAACATACCCTGACATCTGTTCCAGTGAGGGCATAGACAAAACAGGCAAATTCTTTTCTCTGTTACACTAATGTAAATCCAGAATAACTATTCACATCGGTGGAGTAGAACTTGGCCTGTAATGTCAAAATAACGGAGTGTTTGCCAGGATTTATGAGTTAGACCATTGAATCTGACCTAACAGGATCTGAGAATGGAGAAAAAAATGTCTCTATGCCATTTCCCTTATGCCTGTCATAATTTATGGTGCAGATGACACCAAGTTGATGGTATGTCACTCTGGAATTCCCATACAGAACTGCCTCATTAGTGTAGCTTTCTGACTGCCTTGTGCTGGCCAGATCAGGACTAGAAATAAGCCCTGTATCTGTTTTCATTTTCTTGTACAGGCAGCTTGATGGATATTACTTTGAAGGACTGTTACAGAAATAATATGTCAAAGTACTAGTTATGTTCTGAGTTGGGCCTACTGTACATATAGCTATATAAAAATGAAAACTTTTGAAAAATGAAGCGGGAATCAAGTTGAAAATGAAACATTTATACAGAATGTGTTTGAAGGTTTTTTGGGTTTTGTTTTCATGCACCTAGCAAAGCTACTGAAAATCTTTAATCTTATTATTCCAAGTGGCTACGTCTACACTGGCCCCTTTTCCGGAAGGGGCATGTTAATTTCAGAGATCGCAGTAGGGAAATCCGCGGGGGATTTAAATATCCCCCGCGGCATTTAAATAAAAATGTCCGCCGTTTTTTTCCGGCTTTTAGAAAAGCCGGAAAAGAGCGTCTACACTGGCCCCGATCCTCCGGAAAAAAAGAATAAGATCCTCCGGAAAAGGGCTTTTTTTCCGGAGGATCGGGGCCAGTGTAGACGCTCTTTTCCGGCTTTTCTAAAAGCCGGAAAAAAACGGCGGACATTTTTATTTAAATGCCGCGGGGGATATTTAAATCCCCCGCGGATTTCCCTATTGCGATCTCTGAAATTAACATGCCCCTTCCGGAAAAGGGGCCAGTGTAGACGTAGCCAATTTGTCTAAGACCGGCAAATGGGTGGCCTCACTATTAGCTTCAACTCTACAGTTTGTCCACATTTAGGGTACGTCTACACTACATGGCTCCCCCCTGTAGATTTGTTTATTTGGCAAAGCGAAATGAAGCCGCGATTTAAATAATTGCGGCTTCATTTAAATTTAAATGGCTGCCGCACTCTGCCAATCAGCTGTTTGTCGGCAGATCGGGGCAGTCTGGACGCTCCCCTGTCGACCTTAAAGCCCTTTGTCGACCTCCCCGGTAAACCTCATCCCACGAGTCATAAGGGGGAGGTTGACAAAGAGCTTTCAGGTCGGCGCAGGAGCGTTCAGACTGCCCCGATCTGCCGAAAAACAGCTGATCAGCAGAGCGCGGCAGCCATTTAAATTTAAATGAAGCCGCGATTATTTAAATCGCGGCTTCATTTCCCTCTGCCGATCAGCCTAATCTACATGGCTCCATCGACGGAGCCATGTAGTTTAGACACACCCTTAGAGACAACACTTCAGGATTGTTGTTCCAATAGAGGCCAGACTTCTAGTTTTAATCTCAAGGCCATGGTAGTGCAGATTAATGAAACTGTTGTTAATTTGCTAACAGATCATCTGTACAATGTAATTGACAATAACCATGGAGTAGACAGTAATCTATTCTGCAATCTAGAATCAATTGTGGGGCTTCAACTCCTCAATGGATGTGAAGTGCTAGCTTTTAGGGGAAGACATCTCAGAAGACAGATACTTGCATTAACAATGTATACAGCTGCACAGTCTTCTGTTTGCAGTAAATGAAAGAACATGTGACCCCAAGAGTACTTTTTATCCTGGAGGTAAGAAAAGAAGCCAGCAGCTGAAAGTTCTTGAACAAAAATAGGCCTCCCTTCCATCTTATCTTAGAAAAGGGTAGAATAGTGGGACTCTCATCCTGTTTGCATATTTTGCTTTGGATATTAACATTCATGTCTTTCATTTTAATTTATAACAGGTTCCATTACAGTCAAGGTACCTGCCTCTCTCAAAGCTTATTTACAATTATCTGGAAGCAAGGTCGATGTGAGCCCAGAGATCCAGTTACAGGAAACCCAATGTGCCCATAAAGAGGGTCACATAACTATTACTGGTAAGGCTGGCTATTTTGTTTTTAATAAATCTGTCTGTGCTAAATAAAATATAGATACGTTTGATTATAGTTTTATTGCTGTTGGCTTCTTTCTGGTCTATTTCAACTTCAAATGGTGCTTATGCCAACGGCCTCCACATCTGTTATTACTTTTTTTATTTTATACCTTTGTAAATGACATATGAATAGTGATCAGCTGTTTCACTAATGAGAGTTGTAGAGCCAAATTCATACCCAGCATAACTTCATTGACTTCTATGGAGCTACACTGGACAAGAATGTGGCCTACTGATTTTTAAAGAAACAGAATGTTGTTATCTTAGACAGCTGAATAGAATTAAATATATAACCAGCAAATATGTATTAAAATATAACAAAAGAATCCTTACAAATGTGTTCTGAGTACATCTGATAATCAAGGTAAAAGGGGGCAAGCAGCATACTGTAGAAAAAAAAAATGTTGTTTATATTATAGCCGATACAGGTAGTGCTGCCTCTTAATTAAATTTGCCCTACACTTTGCATTGTAAGATCCTGTTTTTGGTTGTTTATAACTTTGTCATACTTCAACATGAAATTTTACCCTGAAATTTTCCATGCAAGGTGTTTGTCTTGTGCTAATTTTTGTTGTTGTTTTTGAAATAGCTAAAACAGTTCAGCCATTTTTAGGAATGAGATTAGGAAAAATATGTTGTTCTGCTTATGTTAATGTTCTTTATTAATATCCAGCACCTCCCATTTTGTTGAGATCGTGTAGTGCCTCCATTCTTTGGACCAGGAACTTGAAATTTGGCGGAAGGGTGCCTTTTTATTGTCCCCATGACTGTCCAATTTATCAAAGTGTTAAGCCTTTGAAAGATCAGTTTGCACTTGCTAATAGAGACTTGCTAGAGTTTCGCAGCTAAAGAGTCCCATCTACACTGGGCATGGTCCATGCTCTCTCAGCTTGCACCATCCCCACAGAGCAACTGAGCCTGCTCTGTCACAGCTGCATCAATGCAGCAAGCAGCCTGGGGTGCTATCGTGACAGGTATACAAACTGAGAAGAAGAAATCTGTTTCTTCTGGGCTCTCTGCTGGGGCCCAGCTAGTAAGAAAGGAAAGGATGGAGCAGACACCATGGAATGCAGAGGGGTGAAAAAAGGATGTTGCCGTAGCCAAAAGGAACAGAACCGGAGTGTGTAAGAGCTGGGGGTAGTGAGAGATACGAACAGAAAGGGACAGTGTCAGGAACCAGGGAGCAAGGCTATATATTGAAGGGTGGATAGGACTGGGGTAGAGGGGAGGGCTGAGGGAGTTGATAGGAGCAGAGGACACAGAGATAGGCTAGGAGCACAAAGAAGCATCTGCAATCACTATCGCACATTTCCACACTGAACCTAAGAGCCCTGAGTGTCTGTGTTCCTCTACCATCAAGATATAGCTGTGAAATCCACTGGCAAAGCACGTGTCTCATCCCTACTCTTGTGACTGGTCCATTGTAGGCTGTGTCCAGACTCAGGGGGTTTTTCGAAAAAAGTAGTCTTTTTTTCGAAAAAACATCACCTGCGTCTAGACTGCAGCCGCGTTCTTTCGAAATTAAATCGAAAGAACGCGGCTTTTCTTTCAACGGTAGTAAACCTCATTTCACGAGGAAGAACGCCTTTTTTCGAAAGTGCCAACAGGGCTTTTTAGAAAGAGAGCATCCAGACTCACTTGTTGCTTTCTTTCGAAAAAGCAGCTTGCTTTTTCAAAAGTACTGCTTGCAGTCTAGACGCTCTTTTTCGAAAGAGGCTTGCAGTCTAGACATAGCCGTAGAGGATAACAGTGCACCATTGCTAACAGTCACTCCATTTAGTATAGGTCTGTGTCGTGGAACTGAAGTTCCTAACCCCATTGATGAGCCATGATGGCATTTTCAGTTTTTATTAAAACATAAGCGCGCGCGCAAGTAAGTGCAATCTTAATTAGACTACCTTATGCATATCCATCATGATGCTGTATTTAATTACATGATCGCTACATACTATTTTCCCCTGTCTCGTTCAGTGCAGTGTGTAATAATATATATAGGATATGAAATTTTATTTTTTTTAAAGTAACATTAAAGGGCCTCAGTGTGATATGGCCCCTAATAGCAGACTTGCGTCTCCAGTGAGGTTCTCTGCTGAGAGTAGCTCCATCAATGGAAAGTGCCTTACAGTGAATGAAGAGCTACGATTGACCAGTGCTTTGGATCCCTAAAAAAATCCTCCATACCCTTGCACTGTAAAATGTACATGTGAGCTGAGTGACCCCCTTTCTGCCTTGGGGGTTGATCCTTCTGATAGCTAGAGCCAGGCCCAGGGGTGTTTTTTTGTTTACTTTAGGGGGAGGTGGTCAGCATTTATTTTTAACATTCTGTGATTTTTGTGGAGGAGGGATGGGACAGAAACAGAAATGACCCCCAGCCCTACCATTCTGCATACAGACAGTTCAGCAATTTAGACTAAAACTGAGTCTTAATTAGCCAGCCTTCAAACATACACTCCCCAAAGCCACTGAAGTTAATGAGAGTTCCATGTTGAAGGCATTTGGCTAATTGTTTTCACTTCCTTAAAGAGCCCATGGCATTCCCATAAAGTACCCAATGAGACAATGACTGTGGATATGAAATTCAGTAAGGGATTTTGGGATCTGTTTAGGAGACCCGTTGGAGGGGCATGAAGGACCAGGTGTCTCCCCAGCAGCCAACCTGGGTGAGGAGAGGAAGGGAAGGCCAAGAGCCAGAAGTGAAGGAATGGGGCCAGAGTTTCTTCCAGCCACGCAGCCTGGAACACTATCTGGGGCAGTGGAGCAGCTGACTGGGAGAGCATTGTCTGCCCCACGCCCAGCTTTTAGGGACAGCAGCTCGTGAGCTGGAGTCTCCCTGTGCTCTTCAGCTTGTTCAGTCATCTCCTGTCCCTAGACACTGAGCATGGGTAGGGAGGGGACTGCCATTGCCACTCCTCCTCAGCCAGACTTCAGGCGCTTTCAGCTTCTGGGGACAGGAGCCGACTCTGAGGCTATGTCTAGACTACACTGAAGTTTTAAAAGAGGATATGCATGCGGAATTTGCATATCTTCTTCTGATCTCACTTTTGAAAGCAGAGCTTTCGAAAGTATAATTAGTCGTGACGTCATTTTTTCGGCAACCCCCCCTTTTTCGAAAAGCTGCTCTTTCTCAAAAAATGAGGTTTAAGCGGCTTTTCGAAAAAGGGCGGGTTGCTGAAAAAGCATGTCCCGACTACTTTCACTTTCAAAAGCTCTGCTTTCGAAAGTGAGATCCTCTGAGTGTGCCGGAGGGCCTGGGGGCATTATGGATCACTTGGCCACTGTCCCCAGAAGCTGATCCTGGACAGGGGGCTGCCTGCTGCCACAGTAGCCTGGCAGTCTCCAAGTCAGCCCAGATGCTGCAGAAGGAGGGATCTAGGGCAGCAAGAAGTCAACACTTTCCCTCCCCCCTCCCCCGACAAGTAACGTAGCGTGGGGAGGGGCTGAGGAGAGCATGGGGTAGGGGGCGTCCTGGGCTGGAGGTAGGGTGGGAAAGAGGCACAGGGAGAGATCATGTAATCTCCCCTTGAGTTTGTGTCCTCCTGTATGGGGGGGCACCACTTGTGTGTTGCTTTATTTCTCTCCGTGTCACCTCTAAATAATTTAAATATTGACTGTTAACGTCAATAATCCTAATGTACATCTTTTAGAGGAAAAACTGTTCATGTTTACAGGTAGGGTGGCCATCTCAACCTTATATTAACTGTACATTATAACTGTATTTAGTACCTAATGTCCCATATTCTAGAAACAAATCAATATACTGACCGGTAATTGGTCAGATGTGTATTCATGTAGTTTATGACTTCATAGTCTGAATAGAACACTTTGGGGAGCTGTCCTTTAAGTATAAACTTTGTCCTAATCTGTATATTTTTACAGTTTTCCTTTATTTCCTGGAAATGTAGGCTGACTTCTTTTCTTTTCCTGCCTTCAACTAATTTAACAGTGTCTTGTATAGGTTAAACTTGTAATAGAAAATATTACTTTTCCAGTAAGATCATCTTCTGATACAAGTAGACTCTGAAATAATTTAATAAATTTAACAGATAGCCTACACGGTGAAAAATGTTCTTCCCCATAGAGACAGCGTGGCAGTAATTTCACTTAAGTTTCAGCTGCAGAACATATAAAACAGATGAAAAAAACCCCCTGTGTTTGCCAAACCAAAAAAAACCAAAAAACCCCACATCACAAGGGAAAACCAATTTAGCGTTTTAAGTCTCTCTAAGCCAAGAGGTTACTACAGAAATAGTTAACTCTTCAGAAGCTGTCTGGTTTCCGGATGGCTAATGCTGGACTTGACTGGTTTCAGTGGATTTTACATATGTCTTGGGAGTGCTATTGTGAGTGGTCAATGAGGAGTTCCTCCAAAGGAGAATTAGGGTAGAATTCTTCCATTAAGTGAGTTCTGATCCAGTCCATTTCTAGCTATAGGAAACCCTCGCCAAACCCCAGGGCTTGGTGTTACATAGGAAACTCGTCTTCTCTCTGCTACTAATTACAACATTGGTCAAGGCAGTAGCAAGACTGTGAGCTCATTGGTGGAGCACATCCAGGGGAGTTAGGAGGCAACCAAAGAATGGAGCAGCATTTGACTGTAGTGCGAAGAAAAGCAGGAAATAGTTGAGGTGGGTAGTAGGGGGAGGGTGTTAGCAGGAGAGGTGATGAGAGAGAGAGAAGTGGGAAGGCCTTTGTTCTCTCAGGAGATGGAGGATCAGTTCAGAGGACTTGGGGCATATGCTGCAGGAGGGAGGGAAATGTGAAATGAGAGTGTACTCTTGAGTGCTTCAGTGTAATTAACAAGGATGAGCTCTCAGTTCTCTATGGAGTCAGTAGACACTCTAAAGGAAACTATATAGAAATCTATAAATAGTTTTAAGAGTTGGTTTGCAAACTCTGTGACCCCATTTCTTTTTTAGCATTGTGAGGCTGCATAACTAGAAAGTG